GTATGAATACTTTTGCAAACCACTGTACGTTTTGTGATCGAAGGCCCTGCCTACCACACTCCTTCCTCTTCAGAGACTCACACTAATAAGTGGGTAAAAGACCAAGAATTGCCTTATAGATAAAACACTGCCAGTGAATAAGAGGCCTGACAGCCAATGGAAACCAACCAGTCAGAGATAGTTGGGTACAAAGATGATAACAATAATTATCATCTATCATCAATAATCTCCATCATTTCTTTGTATCACTTCAGTGTTTTCTCTTATGGAGTTCCACTTGTAAAACTCTGATACACTGACGTCTTGNATATATATATATAAACTTAAAGGCACACTACATTTTATATTTCACACATTAAATATTGTACAAAACTTCTGTTTAACAAGTGAGTGATATTTAATTCATATTGTTGATGGGAATTAATTAACTGTATGTGCTGTTTTGTTGATATTTATTCACAACTGAGATGGGTAAGGAGTGGCCCACGGGCCATCACTTATCACTCAAAGCAGCTCTAAAATAATTTTTGAAAATTACAAACTGTCTAAAGTGTCTCAGTGGCCCTGAATTACTTGTAATGACATAGTTTGGCACTAGATGGTGCCTCCGATGCAGACGTCGCCTCATACAAGTCTGCACTACCAGTGAGGAAGTGATGTTTAGCCATGGCTAATGCTAATGTTAATAACACAAATGTTCAGAATTTGGGACTGGAACGGCCTCTAATGTTGTAATTTCAAGTCAAGAAGTGGGTGCCATTAGCCTGGTTAAAACCAGACCCTTGTCCTTCGCTTAGGAGCGGGGCAATGAAGGGAAACTAGAATTGAGTGGAACTGCGTAGGAAGGCAAGGGCCAGGCTAGGGTGCCATACCTGAGCACGTGTGATGTCATCATTTTAAGATTCAGAGAGTGAAACTCTTACGGTTTTCAGCAGTTCTGTTGTTTACTGTACATGAAGTGTTAGTACTTTATTGTGAATATTAGGCGATATGTTTTAACTCTGTACACTCAAAATGCAGCGTAGAGTGATGTTGTGTTATTGTTACATTATTCCATCAGAACAAAGAATACAAATTATTTTTTCCAGTCCGACTTCACAGTTTGGAGTTTTGCTGCAAAAGGAACACAGCTTAAAGAGTAACTTACCCCAAAATTAACTTTTTTTAGCTGGTAAACTGTCTAGAATGCGTCTAAAATGTTATATAGTACCGTTTCTGTGTTAATTTTGACGTTTTTGTGCGTATTTGTTCAAATCTGTAATATTTGGTCTAAAAATGTCTTTTTGCTGCTCATATGGGTAGAGCAGTGGTACTGCAGGCTAATTTTCATATCGTTTAACGGCTCTCCGCTGTGACGTGTCTTCTCCACGGTTTCGTCACAGCGGCTGTGTTCTGGTTTAAAAGCCTCCCTCTAAGACACGCCCCTGCAGCAGTCAGAGGGTGGAACAGTTAGCAAGCTTAGCATGATCGTCTGTTGACCTTCAGCCTCGGGTGGGGAGAGCTGACTGGCTGCACTGCTCTCTCTCTCTCTCCCTCTCTCTCCACACACAAACACACACACACACACACACACACACACACACACACACACACACA